CCTTAGTTTTAAATGCATTTTGCCATAGTTTCCACTTGTGTCCTGTGGTTTGTATTTCACTGGATATTCTGAAGTAGGTCACTGGGCTGACCCTGTCCCTGACTTTGTGGATCCTGTATAATAACTGCTCAATGCTGATTTTGAGATGACAGCCTCAAAGCCTGGCCACCCTCACATCTGGGAAGGGGGGGGGAGAGTCATGCACACAGAAAATAATACCCCAGGAGACAGCTGGGGTGAACACATAAAAAGTCACTAAATGCATTGAGGAAGATGGTAGAAAAACACAGGCTTGTTGCCGATCTCTTACAAATGGCACTCTGTAAATAAAATGGAAAACTCCTCTATTACATGTGTAAAAATGGGTCAGGGTAGATACTGCCCTAATGAATGAACAGGTACCTTATTAACAGGAGCTAGACAATAAGCAGATGAATCTATGAATTAAATCAGTTATACCAATACTCTCAATCATATTGGTTAATTTGCCACACTTTACATCTCTGCCAGTTGGAGTTTTGTTAATGAAAAGTAATGTGGTTTTTGTTGCACATAATGTGCCCAAAAAGTCTCGAGGTCAGTGTCTATTTATATATTGTTTCCATTAGACACTAGCAGGTATTTTTCCAATTATCTTCCTACCCCGCTGGTTACAGCTTAAGTCGCAAAGAGTACTGGGACAAGCAAACATAAAAGACAAGATGCAAAAAATGCAATTAAAAGGTTTTGTGAACCACTTTCCTTCGTGATTTTAAAGTCTGTTAATGGCCTTTAACGGTACAACTGTACTGAGGCAGACCTAAGGAAAGGGTGACCTCATGGCTACAGCCAGCACTCCCAAATCTTTGGTTTTATCTAAATGTAATTCTCTTATTCCTTCAAGCGATCACATTTCACTAGAACGCAACACCTCTGAAATTCCAAGGAAATCAAAATTTATTGCATTTTCACAGAGGTCAGAAATCTACAGTTTCTGGAGTCAGGGCATAGCTTACACTGCTAACATAAAGCTAACATCCTCTCCTGTTCGCATTAAACTCTTGAATGGGAGCCACACCTCTCTCCACAATGTCAGTGACCACCTTCAGTCGCTTGACAATTCTCTACGCGTGTCCACAGTCACTGCGGGACCTGGGCTGAGAAGATACTGCACTGACCACTTCAGGAAGTTTTCAGAAACCCTGCAAAACATATACAACATCCATTTTCACTACCACATTTAATCAGTGACCGCTTAAAACATATTTTCTCATTCCTAAGCAAAGCTTCATCTCACTTAACCAAACAAGAAAGACCTCAGTATTTAAGTAAATATTAGCACGCACTGATAATATATTTTTAGTATACTTATCACTGTACTGTGCCTTAAGAATGTAAGGAATTTTTTCTCAACGTACAATGTTACTATAACTTGTACTAGATACCGACAGAGTAAGCCACAAATTCACTATTTCAATGTTAAGACAAACCTCAGGGATCGCACTGCTTTCATAATGCTGACAGATGGTGTGTAGCTGTACATAAACGGACTTCCATCACGGTGTGTCTGAGGAGAGAAACAGCATTAGACCTGTGAGCAGTCATCCCATTTTGACAAACGGATTTACAAAAACATATCTAAGTTTGAACGACAGAAAAAAAAATGCCAAATAATTACATTTACAGGATTGGAGTGATGTCCAGCTCCCTGCTTGTCCTCTGACCTCCTGGTCACGGCCTCTCTATCCCAGCACAGGCTTGACCCTTGGCTGGCAGCAGCTGTGGGCAGCTCTGGTCTGGTCTCCATCACCAGGGGCTTCTTGGGTTGTGTCACCCTCCTCACTGGATTGCTCCTCTTTGGGGAAGCGCTCTCCAAACTGTGGCACGCGAGACCCCCGTCCCTGTCCTCGTCAATGCTGATCTCTTTGCCAGGAGTCTTATACTTCCGCTTGCCTGTGCAGGCTTTTCTCATGAGCACCATCTCGTCCCCCTCCTCCATGCGCAGAGGAGCCGGTGCTGGCTCGCGGAGGGTGGGAGCCACGTATGTCGGGTCCGTGGCACGGGAGTGAGCAGGAGGGCTCCGGGCTCTCTCCGCCTGGGAGCCTTCTTGGGATCCTGTGCCTGTGTGAGCAGTCAGGGAACTTCGGGAGATGGGGGAGATACTGGTGGCCACAGCATTGAGGGACTTGGGCTCCTGGTACGCGGGGAAGCTGCAGTGCTGAGATTCCCGGCTTAGGTCGTGCAGACTAAATCCAAGCACGTCCGCTTCCTTCCTCACCTCCTTGTGTGTCAGGCTGCTGCGCTGTCCAGACAATTCTGCTCCGGGCTGTCGCTCCGGCTCAGGGATGCTCGGCCCTGCCTCTCCTGGGACAATCTGGGACACTGCTGGGCACTGGGTGGATGTGCGAGTAGGCAGATCATCTGGAGTTACAGATTCTGAAAAAAACATACATGCTGTGCTGTTACTCAGTAGAAAATACACCAGGATGTGCATCAATCCTCTCTTGAGAAAACAACGAGAAAAACCCGAGTAGCGAAATACAATGTTAGTTTTGCAGGATGAAAAAATCAAGTGATGAAAGGAGCAAATGTCAAGAAGAGAATATGGCAGCCATTAGACAAAACCTGGGCAGCCGGTGCAGTTTTGGAGACTCACCCCCCGCTGACGAGACGTCGCTGATCTCCATGGGCTGGAATCGACTCCAGGGATCTGGCGTAGTTCTGGTGTCCTGCTCGGGATCTGCAGTGCACTCCAGATCCAGCTCGCACTCCGCTGCAGAAAAGGGCGGATATGCACAGAGAGTGTAAAAAGAGAAGACTTTTCGGGATGATTTTGTTTCTGTAGTGATGCCGTTGTTAGGCAGTTCTATCACCACGTACCTGGGTCTGTCACCTCCTGGGCTGGCCATCTCTCAGAGGCGGGTCCTGAGGTGGAGGGGAATGAAGGTGCGCCGGCCGGTCTCTCTTTAGAACAGAGCCAGAGTATAAGTCAGTTAACTGAGAAATTGCACTTCATGTTGGTCTACTATGCAGTCCTTACAAGTTCTCAGAACACCCCTTCATGGTTTAGTCACAAACGCACTGAAAGGAACACTTCTGTGCAGCTTGCTTACCTGGAACCCTGGCAAGCAGCTCTCTCTGCCTGGCAGGGATGATGAGATGAGAAACTGGGATGGTGAAGGGTCTCTCTCCCTGTAACAAACACAGAGGGGGTGAACAGGCAGTCAAAGCCAGGTTCTTTGACGATCTAAAAAACGAAGGTTAAATTACAGAGACAGTTATGTAAAAAGCACAAAGGAAAACAACAAAAAAAAGAAATGGAAAGTTTAAAAAAATGTAAAACCTAATTAGCAACTAATTAAGCTCAGCACACTCAGTCAGCAAAATAAGGTAATGTAAGTGCCTTTACCAGGGTAGACCAAAACCTACATGATTTTCAATTTGTTTCAATATCTTTCACAATATCTAAAACTCCAGGGCAATCCAGCAGAGGGCACCGATGGAGCCCAAAGTACCTTGTCCTGGGTCCTGATGCTCTTCCAGTCAGCTGGGGGGCAAGGAGTCGGGGGCAGAAGAGCAGCTCTGGATGTGGAGGGCACAGGGGAGGAACATGTGCCGTCCAAGCACTTTCTCGCCATAGTCCTCAGGGTCTTCACTTTCTCCTGATCCAAATAATGCAGCAGCTGAGTCAAAGAGTAACCTGTTTGAGAAAAGAAAAGCGTCATTTTACCAGGCCTCTATAAGAGGCCTCTATAAGGCCTAGTATGTTTCTGTGGTAAATCATGTTCCAGTAAATGCACTGAAATAAAACTCGACTAAATGCAACTTAATTTCAAAATGCAAAAGAATCACAGCCAACCCCCTCCTTCAAGTCTCCAGTCCTGATCTGGCTGGGCTAAGAGGAGTACCTGTGTTGTTGTTTTTCATGCTGTCTTCATCTTCTACACAGGACCTGAGGAACACCAGACAGCCTGTTTGTGAGAACTTTAATATTTTACCAATCAATGCTCTTTCATTAAATACAGTGCCTATAAAAAAAGAAAAGACTTAGTTCCGTGATAAAGCTAATGATGAAAATAGGTATCGCTGTGCAGCAATCTGAGTCATTCCAGGCTTCATAAAACTGCAGGATACAGTGTGTAAGCCAACAGTATGTGTTTAAAAGGTCAAGCTTGTCAATGTACCCAGATAAATGCACAAGATCCTGGAACACACGAAATAGATTAAATCACTAAACAACAAAAGTCTTGTACTGAAACTAATAAAATTGTAATTATAATACACTCATACAAAGTTTGATCAAAGTGTTTTTTATTGGAATGACTGTTAATACCTGTACTTCATTCACTGTTAGTGTTCTCTCTAAACATCAACATACTCTACATAGAGAAATATACTTACATCCACAGTTTATATATCTGCTGTTTCACTCTCGGCAATGTTTTACTGAAATGGCAAACAAAAAACTGATCACAGATCACAATTTTCCGCTGTAACTGTATTAAAAAAGTAAATAGAACCACTCCAGCCTTAAAATGAACAGAGAAGCATCACTTTGAAATAAATCATTTCTCACGTATGGTAATCTTAATGATCTGGCTGTCAAGAACAGAAATTCCTCTTACCAATTAGGCACATCATGTATGACTGGCTCAGACCTCAGTGCTCGCAGCCTCTTGATTAAGATGAAAAACTGACATTTGCTCTGAGAAGAAAATTCAAGATAGAAATCTGAAAAAAATCAACCCAATTTGCAATAAATACCTTCTAACTCCTTTTAAAATGTAGCTTACAATATATCAACTGATGATTGAGTTTGGTAATTTACAAGCAATTAGTGAAGAAAGGCTAAAATTGGATGGAGACAGTGAGACACTATATGTAGCAATATGGAGTGTATAACTGTGTCTGCTGTTAGAGGTCCTGATTTATTACTCCTGAATTTATTTCTTCTTTGTCAACATTACTTCTACAAACTCTGAGATTTGCACAACTGCTGAGAGTGTGTCACCGCTTACCTCTTCTTTCTCCATCTGGAACATGACACTGTAGTTGACCAGTATTACGATATAATCCTTGAGATCAAAAAAGGCACAGTAGTCTTCCTCCCTGTTGAAAACAATTCAACACACAACTATTTTAAAAGAGAGTCTTTTTTGTTGCTCACCAAAATTAATTTAGTCCGTATGTCTGAAAAGTGCTTTGAGAAGCCACTTCTAAGGGTGAAACACAAAGTTTATTATTATGACTCTTTTGCGGAATGATTGGTATACAGTACATAATAAAGAAAAATTAAGTAAACATAAAACACAAACTGTCATAGTAGACTTGTGAAAGTGGTACACAAATGAAAAATGGTACTCCAGAAGAGATATCTGCTGTTTTAGTTCTTCAACGCAACCCCACTCACTCTTCCAGTTCTTCCCAGGCTTCCCGAGTGATGATCCCAGGGATGAAGACTTGGTGATCCGAGAGGAAGACAACTGCTGCTGGATTTTCCACCTGTTCATTCTGCAGCCCCGAAACGTTCCCAAACTACAGAGAAAGAGTGAGACAGTTCTCGTGAAACGACACCTCACCGCCTGCACTGCCCCCCAGTTTTCTAAATCTACCTCTGACGCAGCAGAAAAGCACAGCTCATCAAGTGAAGTCAGGAGAAGTGCTCTCCTGCTGCAGGCTATTTTTCAAAAGAGCAGGGAGTGCGAGCTGGGAAAATACAACAGCAACCTTATCACAATGCTACTGCAGATGAGCAAAGGGAGCCTGGTTTGTTCACAAAACCATTACTGTTAGTGCATGTTCTTAAGCCCAGAGGTCAGAATTCTGATTGCATTCATTTTTAATTTAGACAGCAAAAACAAGCTGAGAACAAAAAAAAAAGTTACAAACAAAATGAGTCATCGAGCAGCTGATCTGGGGGTCTCATCTAGCCTGGATATCTGCTTCGTTAACATGGATATGTAGCTTTTTCCAGACTCCCACAACTGTGGATTCATCAAGGCACCTAGAGCCATACTATAGGTCACACGAACAATCCCACACTAACTACAGTATGACCCCGTGGCGCAGTGCACTTAACGCCCAAGGCCTGTGTTACCCCAATGACATGGGCTTTGACTGAAGTCGGCTCCTCTTCCTGGCCGTATTTCTGCAGGAGGAGGTCAATCCAAGGCTGGATAGTGACTGGATTCTTGAGGCTCATGGTGGCATTGCACTCCTAAACATTAAGTATCTTGTTAATTAATTTACACAGCACAAGAACTGGGAACTAATTACTTCTGCCATCACTGCTATCTTTAACAACAATCATTTTAATAGTGAGGTTAAAAACTGTGACAGCCTTCTAGATTACAGCTGTCACTTACAGAGTATAAAACAAATCTTTACACTAAAAATGTGAGGTTTCTGTTTTTATCATTTTACTATGATTAGTAAATCCCTGGACAGCAGAAGTTAAGAACAAATCAATTTAGCAGTACACTTTTACAAGACTAAATAATTATTAAATTATTATTATGTTAAATAATTTAGGCATCGGTCGGAACACCATTAGGGAGCACAGTTATATTAATTGGGCGATAACTGGGAGATAATTAAAGGTGTTCTCACCCTCTAGAGCGGATAAAGTGGTTTACGAATTACTAGATCGGAATTATTTTATCAGCAAGACTGTAGATAAATAACCAAGTACTCCATCACTCACAATTTGAAAAGGTAACCCTATTATGAAATTACATTTCTAATAAATAAAAACGCTGTCAGCTAAACTCAAAACTGCCCGGCGAACCACTGAGATTTAAATCTTGATTCTCCAATATTTATCATATTATATTCAGTGTAACTAAACAGACTATATTCATGTCTCTGACCCAATCTGCAAACTCAGAAAGGTGTGCATTTTACTTACCTCCAGCTAATTATACTCCCTGAACAGAAAGCGGCGTTAAAAGATAACTGTTTTCAACTTTTATAGTTCGAAAACGTTTAGCAAAACGTCTGAGTTAAGAAAAAAATAATCAATTTACGCATTATTAATCCGTGACACTCCAGAAAACATGTTCCGACAGAAATTTAGAACAGAACCAAAATTCGTCTCTTTAACAGTAATAAAACTAACTAAATAATATAAATGCCATACTAGAGCAGTAAACATATTCCACTATATATTCCACTATAAACCGGAACCGTCTTTGTTTACTTGAGTCATTGGTATTTTCTATCTCCCGCTGATGTCCGGTCTCTTTTTTCATCCCCCTGGAAACTCACACGCTCTTGTTCATTGGTTCCTATCAAATCTGATTCACACAGTAAGAGGGCTTTGACGTTTGAGAGCTTCACACATCTAAGTTTCCAGACTTAGAAAAACAGCACCACAAAAACAATAATGCATTAATACTACATCCAAAATGTTACTAAAGAAATAGAAAAAAATGTACTTAATAAACTCTAAGACGCACAATGGTGGGTCGAAGACGCACTGTCAGAAGTCGCCACAGTAGGTCGCACTACACCAGCATACGAGAAAGACTCAGCTAAAAGAACAAATACACAATCACTTCTCAACAATTAAGAGCTAAATCAGAAACATATATTATCGTTCTTAATAACGAGAGAATTTGAGCCAATTTAGCTTAAACCAATAATCAGAACTTAAACTCCACTTTTTAACAGAGGGACAGTGAGAAACGGATAGTACGGATTGACCCCAGACCACACTGGAATAAGCCAGCAGTGCTGGCCACTGCCCTACCATGCTGGCCTGTCCATAAAACAGTGATTCTCAATCCTTTTCCTGACGTCCACTGGTTTTCTTTCTAGCTTCAGTTGCCAGTGTAAACTGGTACCTGAAATTGATCTACTTGACTGTTTCGACACTTTGTATTCAATATTCGGTTTTAAAAGTATCCTATTTAAAGTACATTATTTACAATGCTTTTAGGAGTTGAAAAAATTAAAATACCCTAAAATAAAAATAAACTTGGCTTCAATTGGGAACTTGGCTTGAGCAATTACCCAAACACACAGCGGTTCACCAGGACCAGAGAATGACAGCTCTAAGGAAAACCAGGCTGCTGTTGCATATTACATTGGTGGTGCTCTTCACTCTGGACCAGAATTCTCACATCAATGGTGACACTGTGTTGTAGAAGGTGCTGTACTTTGGATGAGATGTTAAAATGAGATCCTAACTACGTGGTTGTTGAAGATCCTATGACATTGTTTGTAAGAGCAAGAACGTTAACCCCAGTGTCTTGGGTTAAATTCTGCTTTAGGCTTGCTCTGGCTGACCTACTGTACCTAAAGATCCCCTTTCATTCAACAGGGGAATCCTTTCTCACTTTTCCACCTGCTCTGCAGTGTAGAAGGTTTACTGACACACGATGGCTGTCACACATTACTCAAATGGATGAAGTTCTCCCCCATGTAAAGTTTCTGGGGATCTTGTGTGATAACAGTGTTATATATGTGCAAGGTATTATTATTAGTAGTAGCTAATTTATTACAAACACCAGAACACATGCACAAGGAAGCAAGAATACAAGTAACAATAGGTAACCACTATTAAGCTGTTATTCTACAGCTTTGTAAAACAAATTCTGATTATGATAAAATTATTTTTATCCATTTTCAGACTGTATGGGTATGTTACATCTTATTGAAAAAGTAATGTATTTCTGGGGCTCCAACTCCTGGGCTTGGAGGCCCACACCTGATGATCTCCATCACAGCCTAGCTGAATTAATTTCTTAATTGAAGCCTTAACTGAACAAATAGGTTGCTTGATTGGAACATTTGCCAGGATGCTTTTCTTCAATATTAAAGTTAAAGAGAACCCCCATTATGTTTAAGAGCTGAAAACAGACAGTCAAACAGTTCCCATTAATCCTGTTATTAAGTCAATTAAGGGTTTAACAGTGTCACTGGGACTATGGCAGGTGTGTGCCCCAGGAGCAAGACTGGGCCACCCCGATGTATTTCACACTACCCCACCTGAGCCTGTGCTGTGCCTTTGTGCAGCTCATTCCGTCTCCCACACCAGCAATCTTGGGAGTCTGCCCTTGTGTCACAAGAGAAAGAGCAGGAGTGCAGAGCCATGCAAAAATGAAAGCAATAACAAAGCCTCTTATCATGTCTTGTACCATCACAAATTCTTTCACTCCAGGGCACACTGACATTCTCTAATGTGCTTATAAACTCTTGAGAAAGATACTAGCAACACTGCCCAGAGCAGATTTCACACAGTGAAATCAACTAAGACAAGTGTAGACCAAAGGGTATTATGTTTTTCAGTTCACTTTAAATTGCTGTTTCTTCGTGGTAATTACTAGAGTATGGTTATCATGAAAATAAGTCTCTTGGCTGTGTGTCAATTTCCTGTTCTCTGTTACTGATCCTCTTGCATTTTTGCTTTTATGATGCCTTGAATGTGTAATTTTGTAGAAATGAAAGAAAAGGTTTAGGAAATCTACGGAAATAGCTATCCTGAGAATTTATCTGCTGCTTAGCATTTGAGAGAAACATATAATACAAAACACAGTGCAATGACCTTCAGTACTGATGTATGTTACATATAAAGCCATATTCAAAGTAGGTATTGAATGTAGGTCAATTAAACCTACATTCCTACATGGGCTAATGAATATGAAGAGACCTGAACAACGATGAAACCTGTCAGAAAGTCTATGATTTATATGCTCAACGATGTTTTGCAATTCCTGAGACTGCCTGCCTTATTTATAACAATAGTTTAATCATTTGTCATGCACTAACAAGGAAACCAAGTCAAACAAACTATGTCAGGCATGCAATTCTGCCAGAGAGCAGTGTTAGTGAGTAAGCAGGGGAGTAGGGGGTAAAATGTTCTATTTTTACATTTTAATCTGTTCTATTGAGCTATTTCACAATGGTTCCCTCAAAGAAGGGTTTGTGTAGGCAGAGGTAACACAGGCCTCTCTGCCTCCTTATCTGTGATGGGACACATCTTGACTGCTCTTCAGATGGTTTTCAAATTCAGCAAGCCTTATTGTCATGACAATTGGTTTTAGCAAAGCAATTACAGTCAGGAAGACATTAAAACAAAATTATAAATTTCTTTTTTTGAGAGGGTTACTCTCTTCCTCAGACAGGAGAATACTGAAGTATTTATTACAGTGCAACACCTCTGTCCCTGCTTCTACCAGCTGGGAGTGGGACCACAGCCTAACCTTTCTGGGCACCCAGTTCTGTGCCCAGTTTCTATGACCAGGCTGTGGTCACTGTGCCTGTACTTTGCTGTACTGAACCTATACTGAGAATGTATTTCTCTTTGTTGCCTCTCAACCTGGTCAAATATTTAATTATGAAAAGTAAGGCAGAAACAGATAGGATCCCTTCCTCTGTTCCTAGATACAAAAGAGTTGAAATTTACAGACCACACTATACACAGTGTTTTTTAGGTTGTGTTTGCTTAAGATGGCATTCCACATTTCAGTCATCTTAGATATCGAGGCTGGTACACACATTCATTTGATCAAACCTCTCCTTAATGTCAGGTTCATAACAAAATCTATAAAACCTTATGAAATTACCAAGAATGCACACCTACTGTGGTACAAAAAGCACTTTCACACACAAGCAAAACTTCTTCCGCTCGCCAAGACGCTGCCCTGAGACAAGCCTTCCCTGGCTATTGCTTCTCTCAGCAGTTGGCATTTCTCTTGCCTTTCCTCACAATCCTGAGTCAAATAAAACACAGGCCAGTCAGTAACTTTCCTTGAAAAAGTGCCAGATCAACTTCGCTCACACCCATAACTTCAGACCTACATTTGCGGGGCAGAAGAGTATTAAAAGTGCCTGACTGCATTTAGCTGCAAAGAAAGTGTTCTCTGAATGCACATCAAAAGCACGCTCTTTTGGTTTCTGCTGGTTCATTAATTGATCCACTTCAGCTGTCAATTTCTTGCAGAAATGCCTAGCAAACAAATGTCTTCCCTTCATCTTTTTTCAAAAAGAATGTCTTCTCGCCTTCAGATCCCTGAATTTTGTTTTCTGCTTCACAGGTGGGATCTGATTAAGCGGAGAAACTGTCGAATTGAAATTATGTGGAATTTTTCAAAGGGATTAGAGAGGCCAGGGGAGGGCAATTTAGGACAAGCTCCATCCTGTGGGACAGAGAGTTTGAGAAGAGAAACAGAGAGCGAAGGAACTTTACTGAGTGGAGTGCGTGTTTTTATTTTTCACTCATGCGTGGGTGTTTGGTGCTTGTGCACAGCAGTGCATTAGTCATTGATTTCACTATATCACCCAAGTATGAGTGTATTGTACATTATTCATGTGTGCCTCTTGGTGTTATGATTACACATACTGTAGAATATCTGAAAACCACAGAGCAGGGGATCTGCAGCCCTAGTCCTGGAATGTTCCAGTTCAGAAGGTTTTATAGGTAACCATTTAATCATTAATGTGTAAAGACTCTGAACAGTGTCTTTGTGATCAATTAAGTATGTGATTTGTAAAATTAGGCAATTTAGAGATCATCTGGAGCCAAAGTCTGAATACCATTCAGTCCTTAATGACCAGAGTTCCCTCAATTAAACAAACTGATTGCTTAATTGATCAGTAGCTTGCATGCTTTCCTAATCTCTAGAACTCCATGACTTGGGATCTCTTATAAGACTAAATGTACTGGTGCTCTCCCTTACAGGAGTGATACAGCCCGTGGTTCACTTTGTACACTGGCAGGCATATTTGATATGTAGATATCTAATTAACATTTGACTATCAGGAAAAAGGACGTTGACAGCAAGCATTCACAGAAGCTGCCAGGACTGCAAACACGATCCCTTCTTCCTTTTTCTTCAGAAGCACAAAACAGAAAATATGTCAAGCTCTTAAGGAGTGAAAAAAAAAACACTCTGCCTGATCAGAGGAAGAAATGTCTGGAATTCCTATACTAAACAGAGAGGAATGTTGAGTAAACAGCTGAGCGGTTTCACTCAGCAACCTGCTGATAGGTGAGATGTGATAAGAAAAGGCAGAGTGCTGAGGACATTCTGGTCTAACTCCATTTCACAGATGGGATCTTTGACAATCTGCATTACAGTGCACAATTAAAAACACCCAGGTCAGGTTTCACACTTTTTTTTGCCAAAAAACATGACACCCAAGCAACAATTTCCCTTTCTTATTTTCACTGCTGCCAGTAACAGCGTTATTGTCACGTCAGGGAATCAATGATTAATCCCTCTCAAATTTAGGAGAGTCTGGCAACCACAAAAAGATTCTTCTTCTGGGTCTTAAGAGTGCATGACAGGTTTTCCCTGCCCAGACATTGCTTAAACAGTCCTGGAGATCGATTACCAGAGAACGGATCACCAATCTTTTTTTCTTCAAGCTGCCTCTTCTGATTAACAACATTGCTGTAATCCTGGAACAAAGTCTGAACAAACAACAGCAGGTCAATTTGGGACTCTGGGTCTGCTTTGGTTTGAAAGGGGGAGTTTCAGAAATAAATATCTCTCATCAACCCCCCCCAAAATGACATGTTACATTCTGTTATTCTTTTGTGGGGAAGTTCTCTCCATGAGACTCAGCCTCAAGGTTAACACCCACCCTTATCCTTTACACAAAAGGACAATTTAATAATTATTTGTTTTTTTCACACTTTACTTTTTAGAATGAAAACATTGGATTCATATGTGTACATTTAGCAGCACAGCAGATGTATACATCTCATACTCTGAGATAGCATTTACATCATCTCCTAACTATCTCAGGGCTTTCCAATATAATCTCTGGGTTCAAAATGCTAAAACCTTTAATGATATGAATGATTTCCTCTATTTTTTTCAGTGCCTGGGGAACAAAGAGTATTGCCCCACCCAGCCTGAATCTCCTCACCTGTGTAATATAACACAGTAGGTTTTACTGGGCTGGCGAGCAATCCTCAAATGCCATGTTTATGTATTTCCTCTCTATGAAGTGCAGAGAGCAATCCATTACGTCAACAGAGAGTTTAAGTCTTGCTGACTTCAGAAGCCTCCAGTGTCTCAGAAGGGACACAGGGTAAGGTTTGTTTCAACGACCATCGTTCACACTCCCAGCAGCACACCTCAGGTATGGCGTGTGGCACCGCTGAATCATTTCTGACAGCTCTAGGGATTATTTGATTGTTTCAAATCATGACCCTGAACTCCCTGGTAGTGTGTACCTTCCGTATAGTCATAACCTGTTAGTTTCTTTCCTATTTCTTCTTCTGTGCCAGAACTCTGAAATCCCCATTATCGACACACTTTCCTGGAGCTTTTGGCTTCAGTATTTACCCTCTGCCAGTATGGTTTACCATGCCAGCCAGAGTATCCTCTCCTTTAAAGAGACTTGGCATCCGTTTACCTTATTTGCCCACCCGGACTGGAATGGGAATTGGAGTCTTTATGTCTCGGCTCACAGGGGATGGAGGACAGGCTCTCCCTACCTCCTGGGCAATCGGGCCAATCCTCTTTTGACTGCCCATGAGCTCCGTAGTGACTTGTAAGAGCTTCAGCAGCTCCCGGAGGTGCGGCGTGTCCCTCTTGATATCCCTGTGAGCCCGTGGGGGCCTGCAGGGACCTGGGTAGTTGTATGTAGGGGTCGCTGTTTGCCAAAAACCATAAGGGAGCTCTGGACAGCTCATCCCAGCTGTACCACTGGTGGTGCTGAGCAAAGTGTTTGCCTCCATTGTAGGACTCCCTACGCTTTCCCCAACTCCCCCTGTAATCCCCGCATTCATTAAAGTATCAGAGGCAAACTCACCTGCACACATTCGCCATTCATAAGAAATGTCCTCTCCCCATCTCCCTTGAATTATCCCCGGAAACCTGTAGCTCCACACTCAAGGCAGTCTTACGAGAGTCACTTTTCAGTTAACTCTTCAGTGAAAAGCAGGAGTGTTGCTTCTAAAGAAGGAAACCGGCTGGGAACAGGATCACTGGTTCATGGCTCTCATATGTAGCCTCTTAAGTTTCATCAAATTATGGCCTGGTAATCTGCTCCTGTACTGACAGTTTAATAGCTCTGAGAGGCCCTGTCTGAGGTTGCTACAAACTGGAGAAGAAGAGGCTTTGGTACCTTCATTAATTATCAGATGTCTCCAGATCAAATCTCTTTCTCTTCTGAGTAAAGAAAAGTAAAGCCCAGAAATAAGTCTCTCTCCCAGAGTGTCTGAATTGAGGTCAGTGGAGCACTGGTTTCTGGTGCGAATGCTCCTGGTTCAAGGGCTCCTGCTGGGCCTTAATGGATTCACAGCACTTGTGGAGCACAATAACAATTATAAAGGCACCTGTGTTGCAATCATGTGGCCATGTTACATCTATTTCAGTTTCTATTCAGACTGCATCTTGCTCTTATCTGTCCCTCACACCATGGGGTGTAAACACCCCTAAGTGATTCCCGCAGATTTTAATTGGAACTTCCTGTCCAAATTCTGGTAACAACCCACCAGGATTAATACATACCCTTGTTATGAGAAGCTTTGTTTATTTAAACAACTTCTTCGACAGGCTTTCTGGAAATCGCAAGTTCTGGCAGTCATGATAGATCTCTTTTTTTAGCATCCACAAAGGTTAAAGGATTATCAACCAAGTTACCATCCCTACATTCCTGCAGCTTTCGTCAGACAGGCGGAGCTAGGGGCCCAGAGAGGAGGAGGGGAATGGAAACTGTAAAGAGGTAACCTTAGGAATTTCACTAAACCTGACAGACCAGAGGCTCTTGTTCTTAATCAGCAATTGGTATGCGTACAGGTTTGTCTTCTAAACTTCTTCTCCTGCAGCTAGTGCTGTACTTCACTAACACTCAGGCGGCTGCAATGACCCTGTGTCCATTCTCAGAAATCTGTTTATTCCTGGGAATGTTTTCAACAGTGTGTTGCCTGTTCTGGGAGGCCCAGCAGACATCACAGGGCACACACATACAGTATAAGCACACAGGGGCACAGCAATTAAACTGACCTGCGTGGCTCTGGGAAATGAGAGGGGACTGGATCACCTGGAGCAAAATGAAGTTGACAAACATATTGCCTGCAAACTCCTCGCAGAACTGTGCAACCCAGTCTGGAATCCATTGCTGTTACGTGTCACACCAGTGGCCACTAATAACACCTTTAGTTTTTAACAGGTGAGTGCTGGCACCCATATTTGAAGTGTTCCAAATCCTCAAAGGATAGTGGACTTCTTCATTATCAGCGCTGAACCACAAACCAGAGGACAAGAGTAGAGTAGCAGTAGAACAGTAGGGGGATGTGGATTTAAAACTGAGAAGAGGTAAAAAAAAAAAAGAAGGTACCTTTCTAAAGCTAACAGGTGGGCCGTTGGGGTATAAAACAAGCTACCCAGCCATGTTGTTGAAGCCCTGAACTCTTTCAAGCAGTGGCTGGATGAGATCCTTGGATCAAACACCTGCTAAATCTAACAAAACGACCAATAAAAAGCAGTATCTCAGTGAATGGCCGCCTCTCATCGAGACCTGTTCTGTGTTTGCACATTTGCAGAGCCAGAAATGCTGTCTCAGCACAGGATTCCTGTACATGGTGAATGGTGACTTGTGGTATACAGTATAGTGCTGACACAGGGCCCACATGGTGTGCATTTGAGAATAAATCATACCAGAACAATTAATCATTCCCTGACAATTAAGACCTTTTAAACAAGGCTTTCTAGAACACAAATGTATTTGACTTTTCTTTTTCCCTTTCTGTGCATTCCCTCCTTAAAACATTAATCTGTCAGTAAAATGAGTGGTTTGGTTAAAAAACAGCAGAGGCATGGAACAGAGGAATAGCCAAACTAATTAACTTAGTGATGACCCCAGAGTGAAAATGAAAACCACTGGCGATGAGGTTATGAGCAAAAGAGAAAGTAGCTCCTGTGGATCTCAACACTGCCCTGGTAGCACACAAAAGTACTTCTCACAACAGTGCAATAGGACGTTAGCATGCAGATACAGAATGGCCACACAATCTAAACTAATTTCAACTTTTGTGTCATTTTGTTCCTCATAAAAACCCAATGGCATTTCAATATAATAGGCCTTCTTATTGCCATTTGAAATTTAAATTCTGGCACAATTTCAGATGACAGTGATGTCAAGTTAGAGGAGCCTGATGTTTCAACTATGTACAGTAACTGCTGAAACAAGGACATGATTATGTATGTTATTCTTGCTGTGATCGTCTCAGTGGGATCGTGTATTTGAGATGTCATCTCCAGCAGTACCTTTAGGTGCATTTCAGAATCAGACCTTCAGGAGATCAAAGTTAATACCTGAGGCCGAAAAGACCATCCTAAAACATCACCTCATTATTAAACAGTTACACGGGGTGAAAACATCAGACCGAAAGCAAGGGGGAAGGATTCTGGATGGGATGGCTGTGGATTCAAATCTCACGATACTGAAGAAGGTATTCTACTCAAATTACTAAACTAATTGCCCCCTGCTGTACTGTAGAACGGGCTCTCTGGATTGTTACTGTCAGTGACTTACCTAGTATAAGGGAGGAAAACATGGATTTCTAAATGAATAAAAAAATGAATTTGAAGACTAAAGCTGCTGGGCTGTAAATGTCAGGATCCTTGGAAATGCAGAGATAAAATGATGGAACAAGTCAGATAAAATGATAATCACTTAAGTTCTGCCTTTCCCTTTGTATTACTAGTTTAAGTGTTGAATTACAGACACGTTTTGCCAAGGAAGCCTGCAGTAAAACAAGATAAGATAAGAAAGAATACAGCTTTCAAAGTTAATACCATTAAAAGCACTAAAGACTTAAAATAGCACATACTGTATGCTTATTTACAAACAAAAAAATGTCCGTCAACCCATACTGCTAAAATTACATAAGTACACTTAGGATATAATAGCCCCCAGAACTAGTCACCTCTCTACAGAGCAGGTTTACAGATGATGTCATGTCATTATAAGTAGTTATATAGTTATACAGTATGAAGTACATGATGTCCGAATGAGTCAGTCAGTGGGTTTCGTGCGCGCTACTTCCTTGTGAGGCACCTGTTCCTGCCTCCCGGTTTCCACGGCGACGTCGACTGCAACATTCCCTGTGACGTCACGGCCAGCCCCACCCCCGCCTCCTAGCGGTGTGCGCGGGTGACGTCAGTGTTGTTGAAATAGAATCGCCCTGCCCCTTCTTTGCAAGGAGATCTCCTCATACGGTTCAATTTCCCACAACAAGAGCCGGACTGCGGTGTGGTTGCATGTGTTTCGCGAGCGAGCGATCGCGTTGTCTTTTATAATCCCGTCTCTGGAGGCCGTGTCAGTACGAGCGGTGCATGGTCCACAACACGGGAATACACGACACCAGCCCAAAATGTCAAGGCATCAGAAGACCCCTTCAAGAAATCCGGACAACGTCATCGAGGTCAAGAGCAAAGTAAGTTCTTCTCTTACAATACTATAAACTCCACCGGTTTGATAGAGGTAAATAGATAGCTAAGGAATACAGGAGCTACATGGTACATGCTACACGGTATACAGGTTTTTCCTTTTTTTTCCCCTAAACCTTCACCTTGTACCGTGTCTCTGTGGGTTCAGTCCCTTCTAGAGTGACTTACGCATCTGTACAGAGGTAGCCAGGCGACGTGTTGTCAGCTGGCAGACTAGCGCTGCATCGCGCTGGTGGGCAGTGAACAGTCACACTCACATTTGCTACCGATCTCTAATTCATGTCTGCATGTGCCAGACAGCAAATCGGGTGTCTGGTAGGATTTTTTTTCCTGTGTATTGGCTGAAACGTGTCCCCATTTGGAGCAATAATAAGAAAAATACAGTCACACATCTTATGGTTAATTCGCTGTTGTTAACATTGCACTTTGCAGAAAGGGACGACAGTTTACAGGCTGAAATCCATCGTGGGTTTAATTAGGCCTCCAAAAACTAATTGTGCGTGAAATGCATTGAAGCTGATTTTAGATTGGCTCAGACACACAAGATAATTGAAGTGCGGCGAGGAGGTATTGGGAGAGAGCGATCGCCGTTTTAATGTCGTCGGGAAATGTCGCTACACCTTCGAGCAACTTGCCGTTTGTTTATCTCGGTCGTTATCGTTGGACTGTGAAAGCGGAGCGAGCCTGTGAAGGTTAAATAACAGGGATGAAGGAGACGAGCTTTTGCTTTGTAACACAGCTAGGGAATGAAAATACCGTGTATGTACAGTAGGTGTACCGCAGCACAGATATCAGATTCCCGCTGCAATACTGTAGTTATTCACAAAAACCCTGATTATGTAACAGTGTCACGAAGTAGCAATAATAACGATATATAAATGAACATTTTATTAGGACATCGACGTTCACTCCTCTGTAGATGTCTAGTATAAGGCAGAGAGAAATGGGGGTAGTGTGTACTTCTTTTAAAGCAGTTCCTGGGGATATTGGTGAGTCCCACGCAGGGGGCGACTCACTCAGATAGCGGCCCCGGGGCTGTTGGAAAACCCTTCCGATTATGTTGGGATCTATTCCGATTATGCTGCCGGACCAAAGGATGGACCAAAAAGCATTTAGCAACCTTATTAGCACGAATGTGACACAGTGAACCGAAGTCGCTCATGCATACTTGTAGTCCACAAATCACTCACACGTTTGTATAAGTACAAATAAACATTTTTTAGGACATCCCGACAAGGTGCATGAGAGCGCGATCCAAGTGCAACACCTAAAACTGCGGGACTGAGCCTGGTTGCTACTCTGTTTTGGCAACACGGGGTGCCAGTTTGCTTTTGAGGGCCGACGGCACCGCCGTTTACTGACAACAGCGGTGGTCAAGAGCACTTCGGGCACTACATTCACGAGAAAGCGGGGGAAGTAAAAAAAAAAAATCAACACAATACAGAAAAAGCAGAATCCGTGTAAGAACACGTTAATAGTACTGAAAAAGTGTCCCGTTTTCTTTTACATCCTTTATTCCCGGTCTACAGACAGACATTGAGATCTGTGCTTCTTTGATTTCGCTGGCCGCCTGGGTGGGTTGTGATAAAATACTACTGTATCAGATTATTGTTCCTCTTATGAGTGTCGATCAAGGCACTGATGCGGTTCTGTACTTTATCGCGTCTCTCAGTAGACCACTACCTTGGGGGAGGGGGGTCCTTAGTCACGTGGGAGGTGTTTTCTCCCCACTGGGGAACCGCTGTTCTGCTATGGATGATCCCACTGCCTCGCAGGCGCCTGTCTGTGTCCCAAAAAACATCACCAGGCCCCTTCATTTGCTGCTGTTGAAACAGAGCCGGTTCTCATTTACATTCTCCCCCCACCTCCCCCTTCCTCTCCTACATTCTCGTCAGGGGTCAATCTAGCGTGAAATTCATTAGATTTCCAGGACAGGTACCGTCACATCTGTGGGAAAATTAGATTTAGAAACGAGACCAGTCTGCTGCTGGTCTCAGCTGTGCTCCTCGTCGGAAGACGTCGGCACCTCCAAACTCCGCGATGTTTTTGCAGCCTTGTGAACTAACGGAGAGGCGTTTGGCATTAGGATTTCTGACCCGTTCACCTGCCGTTTGTCACCTTTGCTTAGTTAGCCTTTTCTAAATAAGGTGACACGATTGCTGCAAGATCCCTCCTCCTCCTCCTGTGAGAAAGAAAGTCAGAGAGACTTTCCCAACAGATTATGACGCCCCCGAGCTCCTGAGAGGCGGTTCTTGAGTCAGCGATCTCTGTAGCAGGTCTCAGACCCTCTGTGGAGGCTCTCGGCTGCCCGGGGGAGTTCACGGAGTTTGTACCTGTGAGAAAGGCGAGCCCAGCGCCCGGCCCGCACCACCCAGCCCTGGACAGGCTCCAGCGCGGACAGTGAGTGTTGTGCGAGAGCCAACAGCGCTCCCGGGAAGACATCCGCGCAGACCATCTCACGGTTCTAAAAAAAGCCCGACTTGTTCAATTTTTCATGAGTCGGTTTCTTCCTATCCAGCGCCCCCCCCAGTTTATTTAAACACCCACCTTACTTGTCAGGGCGAAAAAAAAAACCTAAACAAAACGAGGACCTTTCTCAGACAGGTCAGAGCTCAGAGTCTGGGCGAAGAACAGGTTGAGACGAGCTGTGACTTCATATCAGCTTTCCCTTACTCCAGTACCGAACAGCTGAGACCCGAGGCCATTGTCTTTACTGGGGGAAGTGTTTGTTTAAAAACCAGCTACAGCCCAGCTGAGCTGCTGTCTAGCCTCACGGATTATAGTCTGAATATGAGGAATAGTACACTGTATATTGAAAAATGGACTAAATACATTTCCCAAATTATTAGGAAACAACTTGTATGCAGTTAGTGAAACTAATATCTGATAATTATATTTTATTTCCGGCTTTAGCATGCTTGGACATAAATCCTACACCATTAATCATACAATTATTCAATCAGTTCATACCTAATTAATTGTGCTGCACTTCAGAAAGCTTTTCAAAGATGTATACTGCCGTGCAATAATGCAGAGTAGAGCACAAACGTGATTTAGAAAGCACAATCACTTTAGTTTGATCTTTTTTCTACCTTTTCATAAAAGTGCAATAGATGAAACACTGAATCAAAAACATAAGACACTTAGGACTTTTGTGCCAACAGGGGACTGGGGGATGCATGCAGAACAAATTAGCCAACCTTACATTTTCCAAAGGCTTCTGGAAAGGAAATAAGGCTTTTATTGTAGAGTTATCAGTTCTGTAAAGATTTTCTGCCCTCTTTCCAGCTGTTTCCTGACGGCTGTAGAATGTTTTAAGTTTGAAAATAAACTTGAAAATGTTACAGGAAACATTTAAGACAAAAGTAGGATCAGAGTAACACGCTGTCAGCAGCAAGCATTTCAGTGCCTCATATATTGTAGGGTGTAGTGGTCCCAATCATGTTATGATTGTACTAACTACCATTAAAGCTTTACAGAGAGTTAAAGAACATCCAGAGATAACATTCAATTGCAATTGTAAATTAATAGAAATTCAAGTCCTGTATAATGGGCATGTGGTAAGCTCTTAGTTGCACTGTCATAATACCCAGATGTCTTGGGAAAAGCCAGAAACCTTTCTTGAAAATCCACTTATCCACCTGCAGATGAATGAAATCTGCAAGATAGCGGTTCAGGATAAAATCCTGACAATGGCTCAATACAGCAATTATTAGACCCACTGAGCCATGCAGGATCGTGGAGAATGAGAATGAATTTATTCTTTCCATCGGAAAGCCCAGATTTATTTAATTTGTCTTTTACATGTGTATGTAGTTGTCTTATCTATTGCTCTGACATGAAGTCATCTCTCCACCCCTGTAGGAATGTGAGTTCATGAGACGTCTGAAATTGAATCTCAAGTGCTCAGGAATTTGCACTGACTTGATGAGAGCTGATCAGAGAGAATGTGTTCCAGATGTGGGTGGCTCTGTACCTACACACAAGGTGTGCCTAAGCTTATGTATGATTGTGATGTGGGAGAGGTGCAACCTGTAACCCATGAGGGCTTTGTCATGACCCAGCTATTTATAGACACACGCAACACACCATCAGTCAGGTTGATCCACCCCAGTATTCTTTTGTATTATATAGTTGAGAACTTCATCTAAGAAAACTTTGCACAGTCCAGAGTGTTCAAATGGGGTAAAATCCAGAACTGCCACATACAGTATGTTCAGAACGAACACAAACCAGATGGCACAAGTAAAAACAACATGAAGTGCAGTTTAAAACTAAGAACAGGAGCTACTTCTTTACCCAAAGGGTGATGGGCATATGGAACAAGCTGCCCAGACATGTTGTTGAACCCATGTCCCTGGTTTCCACCTAGAAAAGGACTGGATGAGATCCAGGTGTCACGAACAGTTCTTTCCGGGCCCTATGCAGACGACACGATCCGGATTTGTGAGGAAACACTGGGGAGAAAGTCATGCAGGAGAGGGTGTGAAGACAGGGGGCGTGTCCAGGGGAAGGGAGTCCGGGGCGAACAATCCCTATAAAAAACCCAAACGGGTAATCAAGAACAGAGGCAAAAGTCCATGGCCAGGCGATCCATCCAGGGGAATTAGGAACAGGAACCGGATCAGAACTGGTGGGGGGAATCAGGAACAGAAAGTTAAAATCATAACGGAGCCAGACGCTGCAGGACCCGGGCTCTCACGAAACGGGATTCAATGAGGAACCTCGAGTAACATCTACGTCTGGCTTCTAAGGTGGAACTAAAGAGGGGCTGGAATAAGGAACAGGTGTGGGGAATGAGGAAGAACAAGGACGGGCAGGAGCGTCCTTAAGAGGAGGAGTAGCAATCGTGACACCAGGGATCAATTAACTAATAACGACCGAATGACCTAGATGGGCCGTAAGGTTTCTTATGTTCTCAAATCAATAAAAGATGCTGCAGTTGCTTGAGAAGTGAACCTGTGCACTGAGGATGACAGATGCCATCCAGGTAGCAGCCTGGATTGTAGGAAACAGGGGTGCAGTCCAAACAGCGGAGTTTGGAGAACAACAGCAATGTGGCTTGAGATATTACAACTGCTACTCTTTCCGTAAGGCAGGAGTGGTAAAGAGAGAGAAGAATGTTAGTTCACACCTTAGATACATCTGAGCTTTTGCATTGCAAAAGAATGCCATTTTGCAGTGGAGTTAAAGCTATACACCATGCAGTCTCTCTGGAAATAGCTGCTCTTGTTTTGCACATTTTGTGGAAGAATGGAAAGCGTCGTTTCATAACTGTGCGCCGGCTCCACCACAATCCTTGTGGGCTCAATTTAGAAAACAAAAAGTGTGAGATGTGTGGCTTCTGCTTTTGCCTGTTCTTGGGGTGCAGCACTGCCAAACTCTGGGAAAAGCATTTCTCCACTGTTTGCCTGCGGGCGAGGTACTGTAGGAGTGGAAAGACAGCTGAGGCCTGAGGTGACGTTTACCTGTCTGTCTGTGTGCGCAGTTTGAGGCGGAGTACCGGCGGTTCGCTCTGAAGCGCTCCAGCGCGGCTCGATTCCAGGAGTTCTACCAGCTGCTCCAGTCTGTGCACCAGATCCCCCGCGTCGACGTTCTGTTGGGATACACGGACATTCACGGGGACCTGCTACCGATCAACAACGATGACAACTTCCAGAAGGCCTTGTCCTCCGCAAACCCACTGCTCAGGATCATCATCCAGAAGAGAGGTAAGACGCCCCTGGTCTGGCCATGGGGTATGAGCCCTGATCCCACTTGCTGCGAGTTACTTTTCTGGTCTTTCATACGGTTGCATAGTAGTGGTGGTGATGAGCGTCACAAAGTGGAGACTTCATTTGCAGGTATTTTGTCTGGGGAGAAACTGCTGTTTTCCATGTGTACACTACCAAGAAAGCAACAACAGGGAGTCTCGCTTCTGTTTTGTGGTCGACAGCACAAGTAATTTGCAAGAAGTTACTGAAGTTGAAGGTCAGGGTTCACTGGGCTCTCTCCCTGGTTGGCTGAGCTGCACCGGAAGGCCAGTCTTTGAGGATCAGGTTGACTAATGCCTTGTGACGTTTGTTTGCTGGACAGGGCCAGTTTCATCCAGCATCTTTGGTATTGCACAGATGTGTCACTGTATAAGGGAGTTTCCTGGAAATGCCAGTTTCAGTGGCTCCTGTGTTGTGTTATAGCCCTGTAAACCCATGCTTCAGTGTGTTGTAATGGGCTGTAGTTAGAAGGCAGGAGTAGATTCCTGTGTTGGACGCTCTGTGCCCACTGCAGGCATGGCCCCTCTGTTTCTTCTGTTCTCTGTCTGGCCACTCCATCAGGTAGCAGCTGGTGGCAGCCTGCCATATCTCAGGAATGTGTAGGGCGATAGCTGTGCTTGGGGAAGATGGAACATCTTCTTCATCTGGCCAGTGGCCAGCCTTCTCTGCTTCTCCCCCAGTCTCCTTTGTGTTGTTGTTTTTCTGGTTTTCTTCAAAGTTTCCAAGTTTTATCAAAACATTTGGAGAAACTCGGAATGCTGTGATCCAGGAATATTAAAACTTTGTCTTTCTTTTTGGCCTCCACTTTGAAAAACATTGTTCAGGTGGATTCATGTCTGGGAACACGGTAGATGAATCTTTTTTTCATGGTTTCAGTTTTTTTCTTCTCCTGTTTTTAGATCAAATGAACATTCTTATGTGTTTTACATGGCACGTGGGTTGTGTTTTTTTTTGTTTGTTTGTTTTGTGAGTATTCATTCTGCCCCAGAGCTGGCTTTCTATCTTCCTCCATGAACGTTCATGAGCGCAGGCAGAAGCGTGATACTGAAGCAGGTCTGTAAAAAAGAAGATAGGGTTCAGCACCGATGAGGGGAGCTGGCTGTGCTGTGACCGCGCAATCATCCAAGTGTGCGTGTCCTTCACACTTCAGGACAGGCTAACCCTAACCTTTAATGAGGCTGGCTGGCTCGCGACAGAATGATTCAAGGGCTCTGATGTAATTGAAGAGGAGGATGAGGGGAGGGGCAGGGAGGAGAGACTGGCCTGGAGGCTTAATTGATTCGGAACAGCGCAGCGCCGTTTCTCCGGGGGGGGTGTCTGAGGAGGGGCTGTCTCTCGCTCAGCGTGGACCAGGGAATCACAGAGAATGGCTAATGAGGTTCTGTTTCCCTCGTGGTGGAGAGGGCTGCGCATTGTGCAGGGGTTCACAATGGGACAGCTGCCACCTCCTAATTGCTAATGCTACAAAAATTGGCTTTTCAATTTTTCAGTCATTTCCTGATATGACTATGATGTCATCATAATATAAGATGCCTATGTACGCTGAATACAAAAGACGCTGTGAAATTCACAATATGAGGTGAAAACCTCCCTAAATTCAACTTTAAAGTTGGATGTGTCACATTCCTAAAAATTTAGGAGGTTTTTGCTCCGTTCAGAGAGATGGCCGAGATTGTGCGTCTGAGAGGATGTTGGGAAATGTGACGACATCTCTGCCACCCTATCCTAGATAATGCCCCTACTGGAGGCAGATTCACACGGCTTCTTCTTTGGCCACTGTAGTATGATAATCTCTTGGCTAGGATGCTGAAAACTCAATAATGAAATGCAATACAGCCACCAGCATTGCTCCAATAAGTGTTATTAAGATAACATTCCTGTATTCCTGAAGGTGCTCTCCTGGGGCAGCTCATAGACTCATTACATGGATCTTAACCTCACTAACTGATGTACAGTGCGTACCAGTGGAAAGGTACAGATCCTGCAGGGCAACTACACAGCGTGACTAATGTTCCCACTGAATCTCTGTTTTAAAAAGAAAATCAGTGAGATACTCACCGATCGGTCCCTCTTGCCAAACAAAATAAAGTAAAAAAAAGACCATGAGTATTTCTGCTTGTGTACGTGCGCTGATCACAGAGCCACTCCCCCAAAGGAAACAACGTATTGTGTCACAGTGCTTCAGAAAATGTGACTTCTGACACTGCCGACTCACGTCCTTTCCTGTGCTGTCTGCCGCTGTTTTGGGAAGCCCTGCTGATCAGGGTGGGTGATCCTGTTCCTGGAGGGCCCGTGTGTGTGCAGTTTTCATTACAGCTCGCCTCTCAACATCCAAAGGCAGCTCGTTATCAGATTAACTGGACCAATATAACAGTGTCTCCCAGCTCAGGCACTGCGGCTTTGAAAAGATCTGGAAGAAGGATTCCCGGTCCTGGTCCTGAAGGCCCGCACACACACCCACTGGGTTTTGTTCCAGCCAAGCATCTCCCTTAATTGACTCAATAACAGGAGTTACAGCTCTTAAACATGTTGGAAGTTGCCTTCTTTCCACTGCACTTCAACTGTAAAATGAAGTCCCAAACATCGTAAGAGAACACAAAACCACAGATTTTCCAATTCAGGAACTAGTTCGTTCAGTTAAGGCTTCAGGTAGGTAATTAAGCTAGACTGGAATGAAAATTAGCAGGTCTGTGAGACTGGGAGACCAGGATAGCCGATCGCGGCTCCAGATCTGAACCCGATGCTAGGCTCAGTGATTTGGTGAGACATGACGGTGGTGTCAAGGGTATAATTAAGGATGACAGGAAGTCGATACACTGTTGAGGTGGTGGAATGCTGTCCACTCAAATGGTGGGCACTAGGTGGAAGGCCAATATGTGACCTTATGTGAGCAGCATCCATCTCGCAATCTGTCTGACCTCGTTGTGACCCCCACCCCCCCCAGCCCACGGATCATCCAGGCCATCTGCGTTAGCTTAACAAGTATGCACACAGGCCTGCTCAAAACAGACACTTTTCATTGCTAGTGACAATGACAAAAAATGACCATATATGCCTGCTGCTTTGCTTTTGCTTCCATGAAGGTCGGAGATCGGATTTGGATTTGGCTAATCTGCAAAATAGCGTAGCACCTAATATCCGAATCGAACCCTTCCACAGGTTCCTGCGCTGCCCGGCGTCCTTGATCAGGGGTCAGGTGGTGTGGGAATGAGTGCAGGAGAAATGACGAGAGGGGCGCTGGGCTGGGTCACTCCAGCTGAACTGGCTTGGCTGGCGCAGAGAGGCACAGCAAAGCACCAGGTGTTCAGTGCCACCTGACGATAGAGAAATTCCAAAGCCCCATTCCCTCTTCTTAAACCTCGCTTTCCCGAGAGGGAAGAACACCTCTCGTTATCGTCAGCTTCAAAGGAATGGTATTTTCTTGAAATAAAATAAGCAGATTAAGCTCCAGCCTTCATCTTATGGTGTAATGGCAGGGTGCACATTGCCTGGAGGATTTTGTTTTTAAATCGTTTAGTTAAAGAAAAAAAATAACATTTACTGCAAATTCTTATCTCTCACGCTTGCTTCCCTCTCCAGGCTCAGCGCAGAGTAGAAAGATTATAGCTCTGCTTTATCAGCTGTCCGGGAAAAAATTCATTAATGGCTGTAATGATTTTTTTTTTAGTTGAAATGGTATTTTCAGTGCCTGCTTGCAAGCTTAAAGATATGCTGCAGGTAACACAAGTGCCCAAAGCAGTTTTTTTTCCCCCCACGGTGTTGCGTTTTACACTGGGGATGCTGCCTATGTAGAGCCACAAGAAAAAGGGAATTATAGGATACGTTATTTTTATTTATTCTAGGTAGAAGTTAGGAATACAGGATCCTCAGTCAAGGGATCAGCTTGGGAGAATAACCCTCAGACATGACCCTCACAAGCTCTGGATTCTTGTGGACAGGTGGAGTTTTGCAGGTGCCAGTGGGCTTTTAACCTGACTCAACCTTTCATGAAACCCATGAGTCCCAGCAGGACTACAAACAAGAGTCATGTTGTAAATCCCAAAAGCGAGGATTTTCTCCCATTCCTTCTGCCTCAGTGTACACAGTATGTGGAGGAATGGAATGTGCCGAAATTGACTGTGGTCAGTAACATTTTGGTTCCCATGCTCTTTACAAAAACAACGCATTCCTATTTTGAAAGCCACTCTCTAAAAGTGCTGGTTTCATGCAGAAGCTTAGGATTTTTGTCTTGTGTATGCAGATATTTTCTGGGGAGTGAACATGTTTGTTTGGGAGCTACCAAGCAGGGCACACTTGTATTAGAAAGCAGCGAGCCTGTGTAATGACCCTAACGCTATTAGCACAGTAACCCCAGCCCCGCGGAGCTGGGCTAATGCACCCTTATGACGACTATTGGATTAAAGAGGCTGGAGATAATGGGCACAGCTACTTCCAGCCACTTGATCCACACCAAAGAGCAGCACAGCAGGAAGTGTGGAAGCGGGAGTCTTGGTTAAAGCAGTTGGTGATAGGAGCAGGCAGATCCCTTCACAAACCTGTTGACATGAGAGTCTGCGTGCTGCTGGGACGAAGATTTTAACAGTTAACGAGGGCGATCAGAAAGCAAAAAAAAAAACATCACAATGAAACAGGCTGGACTGAGCTGTTGCATGCACATCAGGATGTTGTTTTATTGTGAATTTCATCTGTGATTACTGGGTTCTAATAATACTAAAATCAAGACAGGAGTGCTTTAAAAGGCACATCTTTCGTATTTAACATTTGTTGAGGCGGATCTATGTATGTAAGGCCAACAGCACCTGAGTATCTTTGTGTAAGCTAAAAGCATCTCAGTTTTGCAACAACGGGTCAAAACAGCGATGTAGGTCCTTTCTGGCTCAAAACAGGGCCGACTGGTACTGATAGATGCCCGGGCCCCTATCTGGATATTTAGAGTGGGGTCCACAGCAGCTCAGGAG